TAAACCTCTTTGCGGTTTTCGACGTCCAAACAAGGCATTTATCGGAGATTATGCAACTTGGAGGGATGTCTTGTTGCTCAAGAAACCGTTCCAAGGGATCCTGAAGTTTATCCAGAGCGTCATAGAATCTCCGTAGAAGGTCTTTGGATGGGAGAGTGTCGAGAGTCTCACAATCTTTGGGAAGACCGAAGTCTTTGTAAGGAATTGGAAACGTAACGACGTTGATTTCGAGACCAGCCTCGGATCTTGCTCGGTCAACTGTCTTCACAAACCTAGAAGCATTTTGAGGGGTTGTAACTATGGTTACGATGTTGCCTTGTCGCGCTAGAATCTTGGATATGTCGACCATAGGGATCAAATGCCCTTGAGCCATAAGAGGGATCAAAACAAAGTGAAGTCCTTTGGCTTTTGAATCTATGGCTGTTTCCATTTTTGGGTTTAGCAAATGTTTACGCATATAGAAGGTAAACAAAATTCTCAAACAACATATATATGTGTGGATGCATCTGGTGAGAGATCTAACTAAATTAATTGGGAAAGTCGTCAAAAGCTGTATATATTGACTTTGAACAAGTCATTTAAAACAAAAACTATTGTTTCGAGAACCAAATCATGTATTCCTTGTTTTAAAAATTTTAGTCGCTGACGGTGGTGAGTTACGTCATTATACCATGACAATGAAATCCTAAAATATATGTTTATCGAGTTGCATAAGAATTCGAAAAACTTCAAGGAAAATATGTGGAAGTTTAAATTCTAAAATGATGAATATATCCAGTTCTATATACGTAACTTTAAGTTAAAATAAGCTTATGTTATTTTAAGTTTGTTAATTAGTATTACACATCTAAAATATTCAATATATACAAACACAACTAGATAAAAATACTGTTATCCTTTTAGTTTACTTTCTGATAATGATTGCTATATTGTTTATTGTGATTTCGGTTTAAGAAGTGCAAGTAGGTCAAGCTAATTATGGTTTAAGAGTTCCATATTGATTATGGTTTTGTCCCCGCGCCACGATATAGATCAGTGGTTTGGTTATCACATGATTGATTATTCACATCGTTAATATTTACATAGAAGTTTAATTTATTTAGTTTTCTTTCCGGTCTAGTGTTCAAGAGATTGTTTTGTTAATAATCGAATAAAATTCCAACATAATTTCTACAAGAGTTCACGTTGAGTTTTTAGATTAGACAAAAGAAGTAAAATGGAACCATCTTCATATATAAAGTGTGGTTTAAATTGATACATTGTTGTCTATCAGAATATATGTATACTAGAAATATTTTTTCAACGGCTAATTAAAAACAAGATATATCTAATACATTTTAGATAAAATAATATTATATCTTGTTCTTAATTAGCCGTTGAAATCACATTATATCTTTTCTAATCCAAGAAATCCAAGAAATGCTAGAAAAGATGTATGAAACAAAGAAAAAATGGATTTGAAGACGGTTCTTTTCTTATCATACATTTTAGAAACTATATATTTGAAACCAAAGCATTTCTACCAACTCATTTTAAATACATAAACCCCAAACTTCACGGCATATATGTTCGTAGTTTCCTTTTTGTTTTAAATGAGTTCTGTTTGAAAAGGACATTTGTCTTTTCTTTGTTTGCATGAAAAAGACTCTTTGAAACGTTCAATATGTGCGTATGCAGTGGTGAACAAACTAACGTAGACTAGTTCAAATTTTGGGAGTTCTCGAGACTTTGAGCATTGACGTATATACTCACACCATTTGGTTACTGTATTTTTTGTTTACATTTTTCTTTTCTTTTCGTTTTGGTTCTTGTAATCAATCATTTGATTGTTTCGTTCATGTATTTGTTTTTTTTTTAAAGAACTAGCTACTAAACACTTTTATATATAACTTTTTTTGCGGAACACATTAGTAATTAACATGGACATATAATTACAAACGAAAAGCAAAGTCCACTCAAGTTGAAACTATTAACCACGAAGTTTCGAAAATTTTGAGAATATATAAGCAAATAAATATACACATACGCACACAAGCTTGTATCATCAATTATGCATAGAGGGTACTTTACAACTATCTTTTGTAGTTAAAGTTAATTCTATCATGCATGACGATTGTTTTTGCGTCTACGTATACAATTCATGTTGTTTTTTTTTTGTTTTGTTAAAAGATATAACAATTCATGTTGTTTTGATTAAAGCATGCCTCTTTTTTGCTACCACAAAGTCTTACTCATGTATAATATGTCCCCATGTTACTGTTTTACAAGATCTTCATATTTGACTACTTGAGACGAATCAATTTGTAAACTTCTTACAGTTTTAAACTCTTAATCAACAAAACTAAAGAAGTTTCTTTTTTTTTGTTTTCATCTCATGAGAATCCAAAGCCACGTCCAAATGTCAAAACTCAAATCAGAAAACTTGCATAAGAAGATTCAAAGAAGTTCCCGTGATCTTCTCTTACCCAAAAGGACTAGTCTATCATCATTTAATCTTATCAAAATCGATGATTTATAGAAAAATCTTATTCAACACTTTAGCATGCAGATAAGGATTTCCTTTATCTTTCCTTTTTTGCAGAAAACTGAATATAGTAATATTTAAGCGAAGAAAAATCGATTTCACTACAAAGTCATTCTTGGATAATAATCCTCACACTAGTCGTCTTTGGAATATTGGTTGTAAAAATTCCTTAACAACTAAAGCTTTCGATTTCCAAATTCCAATCCCCAATATATCTTATTTCTTCGTCTGATTTGACATCATCCTCTTTTGTCTCTCAATGTATGTAACCATGCATGTTAATTAAGATCACTCTGTATATTATATGGTTTGATGTTTCTGAATTAACAAAATATTAGTTTTGGGCTTAGTTTCACAAGAGAAACCTAACTTACAAAAAAAAAAAAAAAAGGGTCCAAAAGTATGATAATTTTTTTGTCTAAATGATATATTGTGGACACATAAGTACAAAAGCACCTTTGAGGCTACTAAAAACCAGAGTCTGTCTCAACGTCAAACAAGACCAGCTCAATTATTTCAGAGACATTGTGCCTGTATTTTTGAATTAAAAGAGTTTGAGTATTATTTTTATTAGCTATGGTTTTTATTATACAAACCTCTTTATTCTAACATGGAAAAGAAAATATCAATCCTAATAACAATCTTTGAGACCCCTTTGATGTTGGGATTGCTCCATAATGTCTTGAATGAGCAATGTGATATTAGCATCTGAAGATCCTCCTTGTTCCAAAGCCTTATTTGCCAAGTCACTAAGTTCCCTGACTCTTCTTCTTCTCTCTTCTGCTTCTTGGCTATCACCCATTAGCTCACCCACTGCTTTTCTCACAGTTTCTCTACTCACCGTCACTCCTATCTCCTCTTCCTTTCCATATTTCATCAATGTCTCCACTCCTATCTTTAACCCTGATTTTAGTATCTTCACAATTAACTTCTCGTTCAAGAATTGTTCAGCAGACAAAGGCCATGTCAATAACGGAACTCCTGCAGTGATTCCTTCTAGAGTCGAGTTCCATCCGCAGTGAGTCAAAAACCCTCCGATGGATGCGTGTGAGAGGATGAAAACTTGCGGCGCCCAACCTTTGATCAAAAGTCCTCTATCTCTTATCCGCTCTTCGAATCCGCTTTGCTGCATCCACTTTGCTAAATCCTCATATTTTCCCCACTCTCTTATAACCCATATAAAAGGTTTATTAGATTCCTCAAGGCCTAGTCCTAGCTCTTTGAGCTGAGCCAAGGGAAGATTACATAAACTGCCAAGGCAAACATAGAGCACCGAACCAGTTCCTTGAGAGTCGAGCCATTGAAGACATTGGTCTTGACCAATGGAAGCCTTGTCTCCTCTTTCAGCATTTTTTAGTTCTAACTTATTGCACAAGGAAACAGGTCCAACGCACCAAACTTTTCCAGTCCTTGCTTTCCTATATTCTCTTGCATAGTCAACCTCTAACTCCTCAAAACTGTTCACAATAACACCATAAGAGTCATTATCAGCTTCAATAATCTTGACTGTACTCTCTTTCATATTTCCTTCAAGAGGCTGCAACACAGAGACCTGAGGTTTAGTGAACTCAACTCTATCAGGCAAGCCAGGTAAATCGAAATACTCGTCGTTAGATTCTATAAATTTTAAGATCCCGCTTTCTCGAACCACCTGTATGCACATGAGGCTGAAACAAGAAAATCCATGGAAGAGAAGTTTGGGGATCTTGAATTTCTTTGCAAGTCTTGAAGTGAAAGGAAGGCTCATGTCTCCAATGATGCAGCTCGGCCGCGGCTGAACCATCTTCTTCATAGCTTTCTCTACTTGCTCCTCAAGCGAGTTGGCCACGTCAAAGAACTTCACCATGTCGACCATTGAAGCCAACATATCTACACTCTCGCACCCTTCTTGCAAACCCGCTTGTCGAGACGGAAACTTAACTTCAACGATGTTGATGGTCGGAAAGGAAGAGGAAGAGGAGAGTGAAGTCTTGATCTTGGCTACATTTTGAGTAGTTGTGATGATAGAGACGGTCACGCCTTGACGCTGGGACAAGAGTCTAGAGATATCGACCAATGGGATCATATGGCCTTGGGCCATAAAGGGTATTACGACGAAGTGAAGAGGATCATCAGAACACATTGTAGAAGATCTTACGACGAAGTGAAGAGGATCATGACATCTCTATATAACTACGATAGCGTTTAGATCAAAAAAAGAGGTTTGACCAGTCTAAAGAGCCTGCGTAAGGAAATTATATAAGACAACTTCAAATTTGAGTTTTGATTCCAGAGTCTGGACAACTGTCCCAAGACTCCCAACCTAAGTGATAATATTTTCTAATATGTATGACAATTAGTCTGATCGTTTGTGTTAATGTTATATTCGTGTCATCATCTGTATTGACACCTTGGAATAATGAATTAGAAGCATCATGAAATGAGTCAAAAAGATAATAGTTAATAAAAAGAGGTGGCGGGTCAAACAATGTCTGCTGAATATTTTTGAGAATTTGGTATATAACTTTATTTGACATGATATCAGTCGTAGATGTATCTGTTGATTTCTTTGTTTTGTTCATTTAGTGACACAGCTACAAATGATGGCTTCTAATACTTACAGTTACCCGAATCATTACGTTTTGATTTGGTAGATTTCGGAACTGGCCAAATTCTCATCAGTAATGACCATGCCGCTCTTGGAACCTTGGTATCCCCCCAATCACCTGAACAGACAGTTCCATAACTTACTTACAGGCATGTGTCTCCAGTTTATCTTAAAGTTACGAGTAAGCGGAACAGTTACCTCAAGTGATCCACTTAGTGTGAACATTTCCCAACTTCCAAAATTCTTCTGCATTAGATTGCTCAATTCACAACCCAAAGCCTCACTCCATAAGCCTCTTCTTGCCTATATCTTTAAACACAATAAAAGGAACACCGTTTAGAAACAAATACAATCACCAAATAGAGCTGTAATACTCAGCATATATCTCTTATCTTAATTATAGTTTTCTAAGAGGAAATTTGAATTCTCACCAGTGGAAATCATTTGTTTCTCGAGTTCATGGACTGCATCGAATATTCCATGAGCAGTGTAGGTTTTGATCATAGTAGCAAAAGTGACTTTATCAGGCTTACATTTTCTCTCTTCCATTTGTATGTATAATTCTTTCATTGTAGCCAAATCACCAGCCTGACCGTATGAATTGATTATACAATTGAAGAATGGAGTATCCAGTATCACATCTGAATTCACAATTTGCCTCAAAATCGAATCTATCTTCACGAGAAGACCAACTTTGCTATACGCGTTAACAAGCGAACAATAAGTGATCGAGTTTGGTTTCACTCCTTGATACTTCATTTTCCTGAATATATCATCCATTTTCTCGATTCTTCCAGCTTTTCCAAACGTCTCGATCACTATATTGTAAGTGACAGTGGTCAGGGAGAAGAACCTTTTCTCCATGAATTCCATAACCGAGCACATCTTCTTATACATTCCAGCTTTTCCAAATGACAGGATCAGTATGTTAAACGTAGTGATGTCTGGCTGCACTCCCATGAGCTGGAACCGATTATACCAGCTCTCCATCTTCTTCGTGTCACCACCATTCCCATATGACCCAATGATCGAGTTAAGTGTGAAAACATCCGGAAGAGAATCTCCATCCTCGATCATATCAGCCAGAACATTTTCCATTTCCTCAAACATACCAGCCTTTCCATACCCATCAATAATAGTATTGTAAGTAACCGTGCTGCATCCAACTCCAAGATACGACATCTCAAGAACGATACTTTTAACCAGATCAAACCGACCAAGTTTGCAGCAACAACTGATGAGAACAGTAAAGGTGAACACATCTGGCTTACAGTCACTAGCCGATTTCATATATTCAAGCGTGGAAAACGCCTTGTCTAGAAGTCCACTTTTGCCATAAACAGCTATAAGAGATGTATACACATCAATGGTGGGTTTTAATCCTTCAGACAACATTACTTCAAAAAGCAAGCTAGCTTGATCAGGCTGCTTGCAATTCCCAAGCACTTTAAACAGCTTTGTGTATGTTTTGCATCTTGGTTCATACCAATGCTGCTTCCTAAGAAGATTGAAAATCTATAAAGTAGAGAAATGGGCAAATGAATTCTATTGAACCTTATGGAAAATTCAGTGTAAAGAGTTAGAAAGGAATAAAAGGGGGAAGTGTACCTTCAATGCAGACTGCCATCGATTCTCTTTGATAGCTTCATCAAGTGCTTCAAGAACAGCTTTTGGCCATAAAGTTAAGTACTTTTCAGAATTGGCTTTCCTCTCGATGCCTTTGACAGCTGACTCTGCTCTCAGAATCCGAGACAACTCTTTCTTAGGATCTACTCGGTGTCTTGTTGAGATCAGACCGGATCCCATTTTCCCAGTACCGTCATTGGGGATTTTTGTCGAACATGTTGTGGGCGTTGTTGAAACAGAGGCTACACGCCGAGAACAAACCGTGGAGGGTATATGTTGCCGAGAAAAGCAGAGTTTTATATTTTCAATGGCGTATGCGGAATTAATCCCTTGAATAGGATTCTGTATCAATTCCATCGAAGAGAAATGCGAGAAAGATAAGGGGAAGACGACGATGCAACTTCGGTGTGTAGGAGGAGGAGCTAGAAGACGACACAGTTGTTCGGCTTCATCTATTTCGGTTTAGCTCGATTGGGCGGGTTCGGTTTTCAAAATTAATCGGTTTGTCTGATATATAGAATGGTATGATGTGGTTTTGGTTTTGAATTTTATTATATTTTCAAAAGGTCTAAGCTTCAATCAGTTTTGTTTTTTTTCCAATGTTATGTAATCTGAAAAATTAGAAAAAACCAAATGAAAAATTTTCTCCAATTTTGACTTTGTTTTATCATTTAATATTGGACTCACTTGAATGACAACGAACCGAAAATTGGAAATGTGACGTGAACCGGAACTGAAAAATGGAAAAATGCAAGAAAGTTATCCGCACAATTAAGGACACGTGGAGCCTAACTGTAGGCCACGTGGCCACGTGCTCATCACTCTCCTCCTAGTCGCCGCCGTGAACTTAAGGTCAGACGTATCGGCCACCGACCAAATCAGACAACAACGAAGAGTCAAAAGATTTAATGGATACTTCACTTATGTTTTATAAACCTTCCTGTAGTAAACTGTGAAGACTGTAAGAAGAACAACACGAATCAAGTAATCGAAAGTATACTTTTAATTTAGAGAGAGAGAGAGAGAGAGAGAGAGAGAGAGAGAGAGAGAGAGAGAGAGAGAGAGAGAGAGAGAGAGAGAGAGAGAGAGAGAGAGAGAGAGAGAGAGAGAGAGAGAGAGAGAGAGAGAGAGAGAGAGAGAGAGAGAGAGAGAGAGAGAGAGAGAGAGAGAGAGAGAGAGAGAGAGAGAGAGAGAGAGAGAGAGAGAGAGATGGAGT